AAGTTAGACACTTTGGTAAATAAATTACTAATAAAGTTAGACACTTGAATGGTAAATAAATTACTAATAAAGTTAGACACTTGAATGGTAAATAAATTACTAATAAAGTTAGACATTTGAATGGTAAATAAATTACTAATAAAGTTAGACATTTGAATGGTAAATTACTAATAAAGTTAGACACTTGAATGGTAAATAAATTACTAATAAAGTTAGACATTTGAATGGTAAATAAATTACTAATAAAGTTAGACATTTGAATGGTAAATAAATTACTAATAAAGTTAGACACTTGAATGGTAAATAAATTACTAATAAAGTTAGACATTTGAATGGTAAAAGGTGTGGACTTGTGTCAAACCTGTTTATTTACAGCATCACAGTTCACAGCTGAGACAGGCTTAAATTCTACGTTCAGTGCAGATTGTGATCTTCACTGATTGTGATGCTGTAGTTCTGAGTGTTTATGTGCTGCAGAACAGGAACCTGCTGTAAAACAGCACTTATGCTGAGTCAGGCTTGATTTTAATCATCTTTTCCTGTTAAATAAGTTTAAAAAATCAAATGAAGATGTCTTTAGTTGTGTAACATTAGTGCGACTGGTTTTCACCGACACACTGGGCTGCAGTTTGCTCTGAGCAGAAAAACCAGACTCAACAGTAACAAGTTTATAGGCAACAACTTTAAACAAGATTATAGAGCTGCAACCAACCATTATTTTAATTATCAATTTATCTGTTGATTTTTTTTGATTAATCGGCCAAATCATTAAAATGCTTAATTACATAAATATAAGTAGATATAAATTAATTTAAATTAGGGATGCAAGTTATTGATTAATGTGAAGTTGTCTGAAGTTGATTTATCTTATAAACTGACAAATGATTAATTGATAAGCAGCCATTTTTCTTAAAAACCAGTTTTCTTTTGAATCAAGAGGGTCTTTTCATAAAAACATTTTTTAAAATATGCTAAATTTAAAAAGAAGCACATCATATATATTTTCATAATTGATTTTGCCGGCTGTATTAAACACTGACTAGAAAAAGGTAAAAAAATGTGGATTTGTCACATTAATAAACTTGGTTTTTGCTATAAGACATAATTAGACATTTAACAGGCTGCTGAATGAGGACAACAGATTAAAAGAATAAAACATGATTTTTTGATGTAAAACTATTTTTAATTTATTAGAATTTATTTGCATTTAGAATTCATGATTTTTCTCTGATTCTTTATGTTTTCCTTCTTGATGGTTCTGTCTGAGGTAAAAATGACCCAGTAAGAGGTTCTGAACCAGCCCCCCCCCCATCCCTCCTCTACTGAGTCGGACCAGGAGTTCTGCTCACGTCTTTTTGTCCTTTGTCCTGAAACTTTTTGCTGCTTATCAAATAACTTTAATCCTCGATCAAAAAAAAAAAAAAAAAAAAAAAAAAAAAAAAAAAAA